CCAGGACCAGTGGGAGTTGATGGGGTGGGTAGGCAGTGGAGGGGGTGGCATGGCTGCATCGCACACCGACTGACGCTCCCAATAGCATTGGAGAAGCGGTTACCCCACCGGCACGCAGGAGCTGGCACCCCAGGGGGAAGCTCTGGCTCTGCAGCCCAGGCTCGATGGGAGCACGAGGCTTCCGTGGGTGGGTGGGGGGAGCTGAGCTCCCCATCAGCCAGGGGCACAAAAGCCTGCGGGCTGCCCTCGCCCTGCAGCTCGGCACATCGCTCCGCTGGCGGCAGTGCAAAGGGACAGCCCTGCCCTTGCTGCACGCCCCGGGGGCTGGAGGAGACAGCACCCGAGCCCAGAGCTCTTGCCGGGAGCCTGCCTGGATGACAGGGTTTGGGGTGGTGGCTGTGCGTGGCCCTGGGCTGTGGGCATAGCTCTGATCTTACCAGCGCTCCCTGCTCCCCAGATCTGCAGCCTGATGCGTGGGGGCATCGCAGAGAGAGGTGGCATCCGCGTGGGGCACCGCATCATCGAGATCAATGGGCAGAGCGTGGTGGCAACGCCCCATGAGAAGATCATCCAGATCCTCACGCAAGCGGTCAGCGAGGTGAGCCGGTCCCGGGGTCCCTGTGCCACGGGGCAGCAGCGGCTGCAGGGCTTTGCCCCAGCACCCTCCAGCCCCGGGTTTGGGGTCTCCCAGCTGATCTGTGTGTCTCTGCTTAGGTCCACATCAAGACCATGCCAGCCTCCACGTACCGCTTACTGACCGGGCAGGAGCAGCCCATCTTCCTCTGAGCTGCCAGCCCTGCCCGGTTGTCGCTGCACGTGCCTGGGGCCAGGCAGGAGCGAGCCCGGGGCCATGAGGGCAGGACAGGCTCTGCCCCCTGCCCCAGCGCCTTCATCAGAGCCCTCTGATCCCCAGTGGGGCCTAATCCTGCACCTCTTTGGTTTTACTCAGGAGACAGTGGGAGACGCTGGGGGCCTGATACCCAGCTTGAGCAGTGTCAGGGCTTATGGTGCCACGGTTTGGGCATCTCCCCCTCCATTCACCCCTCCCTGCCTCACAGTGCCTGCATGGTGCCTGTCCTGCTGCTTCACGGGGTCCCTAACCCTGGCCTGGTGCTGGCAGGAGGAGAGGGGACCCTTGTGAAAGGTCGCCCCATCCAGTCACCACAGATAGTGCTTTTACACTCACCAATGGTGCCTTTCCCCATGGGGGATGGTGCTGGAAGCACAGCTCCAGGGCTCGCCCTTGCACGGCCCCAGAGCAGCGCTGACCCTGCACGCCAGCGTGTGGGTGCACGCTGGTACCCCCGAGGGAGAGCCAGCAGCTCCCAGATTCAGCCTTAAGGGCAGGAGCACCCTTGGCACCCACTCATCCTTCCTGGCTTTGCCAGGGGCCTGTCAGGGGTGCAAATGAACTCCCTGTTAGACCCGTTGCACCGAGCTGGGAAACTACCTCTGCTTCTCCCTGGTGCTGCCTTGCTCTGCACGCACAGCCCAGCCCCAGCTTGCCAGGGCGCTGGGTCGCAGCCCTTGGGGCTGTCCCTCGCACAGCGAAAGGGAACGCGGCGCTGCCCAATCCCACATCCCGGGGAGCCTGGGCTCAGGAGCCCCAAGGACCAGCCCCTGGTGATGCGGCTTTTCACAAGTGCGTCTCTGGGCCCCTCCGCCCGAGGCAGCGCTGACCTGACTTTGCCTGTGTGCTTGGTTGATGTAAAAATAAAAGTTTTGGGCAACGTGGGAGGCTGTGATTCAGGATCCCTGGCTGGGCTGCAGAGGCGGCTCAGCCCTGGGGCGTGCAACTGAGCGCGCTGTCATGCCAGACGTTAGCACAACCTGAGCCTGATTCCCACACCGATGCCTCCTGGAGCAGGCGGGGCATCCGGCCGCAGAGGTGCCGGGGTCCCAGCAAGGCCACCCTGCTGCGCACGGTTCCCCTGCGCGCTGCCAGCCAGCCAGCACGCACAGAAACGGCCCGTCCTGACCAAAACATCCCTTTAATTCCAGCAGCAGAGGCCATGTCCAAAAGGGGGAAGGAGGCCCTTGGTGGTGCTGGGTGGTGAGGGGTACAGCAGGATTAGGCCCGGCCCAGCCTGGCCTCGGGGTGCTGTGTGGCACTACCTGGGCTGTCATCTGGACCTGGTGCCGTGGGGCTGCCCAGCGGGAGGGAGGCCAGCAGTGCTGCTACACGTCTGTAGCTGGGCCCCACTCGTAGCCTTCATCCTCGTCTGAGTCATCCCTGGCCCGCGTGAACCTCTTCCTCACAGCATCGTGCTCGTATTCCCTGGGGGATGAGAAACGATTTGGGATGGGTGGCAGAGACAGGTCCCTGCGGGGCAGGAGGGGCCAGGCAGAGCTGGCACCCACGGCTCCGCAGGCCCTTCCCCAGGGCTGGCTGCTTTGCCCCCCCCCCAGCTGGCTCTGGTGCGCAGGGTACCTGATGCTGTCGTAGCGCTGGCCCCGCTGCTGCTGCTCATGCTGCTCATGCTGCTCATGCTGCTCCTGCTCAGTCGCCTGTGAAAGACCAGAGATGGGGGGATGAGAGGAGGGAGCAGGATTTGTGCCCCAGCCTGGGGCTGGGCTGTGTTCCCCCATGGGCACGGGTGCACAGCTGGCCCCTGAGCAGCTAGAGGTGACACGCTGCCTGTGCCACAGGGGGTAGGCGTTAGCCCCCGTAGCCAGGCACTGCGCCAACCCCCATTCTGCCCCACCAGCCCCTCGTACCAGTGTGGGGGGACCCATCTGCTCGCTGGGGCTGTGGCTTGGGGACATCTGTGCTGGCTCGGAGGATCGGGCCAGCCCTGGCTGGTCGTAGGCATCCTCAGCCTCGCCATCCGTGTAGGCGCCTGCCTCGCCATCCGTGTCGTCATAGTCGCTGTTGGCCTGGCTGTCGCAGGTCAGGTAGCCTGAGGTTGCCACGCTTCGCGAGTTCGGCAGGTCCAGACTGTCCTCCAGTGCCACATCTGCCTGTGGGGTGGGGATGACAGAGACCTGGGACCCCAGGTCGGGGGGGGACGCGGGTGTGTGGCCCTGTCACCTACAGCCCCCGCAGGCTGAGCCTTGCCGCAGGGCCCCCATGCCCCGTACCTGCTCTGCTCCCGTCCAAACGGGCTGGCTCTGCTGCGTCCTGACGATGTCCTTGATGGCCTCGTACCAGGTGTTGCTGCTGCCGCTGAGGCTGATGGTGGCAGTGAAGAGGTGGCTGCAGTACTTCTTCATCTTGCTGGCCTGGGCATAGAGGCGCCGGGAGCTCTTCCTGGAGTCGGGCGCCAGCCACTGGCGCATGGCCTTGATGCCCTGCCGGCTCTCAGGCTCGCAAAACACCACCACTGGGTAGTACTGCATGTAGTTGAGGCACTCCACAGCCGAGGGCGTGATGTCCAACAAGGCGTGCTTGTCCTGGGGCAGGGCACGGCCATCAGCCCCGCTGGGGACAGGGACGGAGGCCGTGGGTTCCCCCCCAAGCCCTGGCCCGCCCGGCTCCAGGGACATGGGAAAGGTCACTCACCTTTTCTGCGATCTGCCGCACTGAGTCCAACTTGATGACCTTGGATGATGCCCCATCTCGGGGCACGCTCGCTGCAGGACATGGAGACGTGGTGTGAGAGGGGCTGGGGGGGAGGGGGGATTTCCAGCCGCCCCCGGCTGGGGCGGGG